TAATTCATCGAGTAAGAGAATCTACTGATGGAGAGATCCGCTTAATGTTGCGAATTGTTCTCTCTCAAGTGATTCTGATCAAATATTTAGTAGTATTTTATTATAACTTTCGAATTACATAAGATCCAGCCGTATTGTTATTTTAAGTTTCTGAATTTGTTTTACAAGACATGAAAAATTAAAATACTTTTCTTGAAATGTTGTAGAAAAACAATTTTTTCATTCAATGGCTCTAAGACCTTGTGACCATACATAGAGATTAATCATACAGGTTATATACGTCGTAGTTTTTTAAGGACATTATAAAATAGTACTCCATAATTATGTATTAGCAAGCCAGGTTATATATAGATTAGAGACCAGCTTGAAACCGAAACGAGGAGAATGTATACAAAAGTATTAGTATTAAGTATTAACATGCATATCTAAAAAATATAGAGTAATCCGATGAATTAATGTTAAAGTGTGAACTTTCAAAGATTCAATGATGCACGAAATTGCGACGTATACCTAACCTATATGATTAATCTTTATGTATATTCACACTAAATTTTATATCCTTTCAAGCTTGGAGAGGAATGTTCCCGAATNGAATTAAAAAAAAGTCTCAAATTAGTTATTTAACTATTTTCTATGAAGGCTGAAGTTGAAATATAGAAATGAAACGGGGTAAAACTGTAAATATACGATAATAAGCAATGAAATGGGAGTGAGTTTAACCGACTTTTTGTGCGGTGTTGTCCGTGTCTCCGTGACCAAGGGAAGTGGATCTCTCTTGTTATATAACTTATAATTTATTTCACTTTCTTAATTGAGAAACTTTCATAAAATGGTAATTTAGAAGTATATGATATACTGTGAAAATTTGTTCCTCGCAAGTCGCAAGTATTGTCACTGTCACATGACTCGCATCCAAACTAATTAGCGCATCGACATTTTGTAGGTGTCTTTAAATATAAAATTATTAAAAATTGAGTAAAACGAAGAAAAAGAGTGTTTTTAGTTAAAATAATGGGGTGTATTGAAATATAAAATTAATAAAATTTGAGTAAAAAGAGGAAATAGTGGGTATTTTTGGAGAGAGAATGTCTCGTGGAAAACAAAGTTGGAGAGATAATGGATGAAAGTTGGAGTGTGTTTAAATATAAAATTAATAAAAGTTGAGTAAAAAGATAAAAGAAAAGGTATAAAGTTGAGTAAAAGGAAGAGAGAGTGTGTTTTTAATATTTTTTTATTTAGAGACATCCACATTTTGTGTGCAATGTGGATGGTCTTAGAGTACGCATTAAAATAAAAAGCATTGTCGGTTGCGTTTTTGGCAACTTAACCAATTAAAAAGAGAGTAATAAAATTTCAACACTGCTAAATATACAAAATTTGAGTTTAGTTTTGACTTTTGAGTAAAAGAAAAAAATATACTTGGTACTTCTGTACTTGTTGAATTAAAAAAATGACAACGGTTACAAAGATACTCAAAGGTCCCAAAGGTTAAGCAATTTGAACCAGGACATGTACGTTATACCCTAACAATTGGTATCCTTTTGAATAAGACGTATTGAACAAAAACAAGTTCATAACTTTACCAGACGTAAAGGTTGGTTGCACTTCAATCAATATAACACATAATAATGAAAAGATGATTTTGTGGGTTGCAATCTCGTGCATGTTTAAACTTTGCATATAGTCATATAGATCAACCATAAAATGCAGTTTTTCCTAAAAATAAAGTTTATTGCAAGTAGAGACAATGATGACCTTTATTAAATTTTGATTTGATTTAAGTACGGAGTTTTTTATTATATAGAAAAGTATAGGGTTTTAAATGTAGATATTATTGTTATATTTATGGACCATAAACGTTGTAGAAATCCAATTGGCAGGGAAGCCATTTTCACAA